TCTAGTCTCAAACTCCAGGGAGCGTGTGGACATTCAAGTTTGGAACTCCAGAGGGCGTTTTGATATTCTAGTCTCAAACTCCAGGGAGCGTGTGGACATTCTATCCTGGAACTCCAGTGAGCGCGCTGACATTCTATAGGAGTTTGATCATACGGGGTTTGGATGGAGACAATAGAGACTTTTGGCAAGCGTAAATATCTGGTCCGTATCGCGTATCCGTATGGATTTTGCGTATGACGTCATCGATGTGTGTATATTTCTCATACGTGATACGACACACGGATACGGCAGCACGTATCGAACAGCTTTTATACGGAAAGGTCCGTATAACATTGTCGTGTCCTTTTACCGTCTTTTTTGCTATTATTAGACGCTGAAATGTTGTATCGTAGTGTTTTTATGAATCTTTGTGTATTCTAGAACATGAAGGTGTATATTTGATGTGATTTTAACCATGATGGTTGAACTACGTGCTAAATTTAAGCAGGCGGAACCTTGTAAATCTGTAAAGGGGTATAAACTTTCTGAAATGATACATTAGTGCAACCAAAAATTGCAGTCGAGTCGAAATCGAAGATTTTAAATAAGATTCGACATTAATTTTTTTTAATAGCTCGGCTCTAATAGGCACTTGACTAGTACTGATGGTGATCTTGGTAGATATCTGCCATCATGCTGTTATAGAACTAAGCTCAGCTTATCGACGCACGTACGCGACACGAAAATCTGCCCAAACTCTTAAACTACAATGACGCAACGTATCACGTATACGATACGGATACGTGAAACGAATGGGACAATTCCGCTTGCCAAAAGTCTCTAGTGTCAGGTTTGGTGTAATTAAGATCTGGGGGGATTAAGTGAGAATATTTATTTTTATAAAATCAGAAGCTCTGCGACAATATTTCTGCTCATTTAGGTGCAGTACTGGGGGCCATTGATATAATTCGAGCATACACACATCATCAACCACTATATGGAGACGATAATGTTTTATACGACACAATTCTCAACAGTGGGAGGTTGATCAGTAAAACAAGTATAAATATAAGAGAGAGAGAGAGAGAGAGAGAGAGAGAGGGAGAGAGAGAGAGAGAAATGGGGTTTAACATGCACTCGACGTAGGGGTCTTTAGCAGTGGGAGGATCCGGAGAAAAACCAACGAGGGGGGGGGGGGGGCGAAGGGACGGAAATCGTTGGGCGATCCTACTCCTTGTCACGTACAAGTTGAGAATCCGAACTACGCCACTTGACTCAATGACAGACCTTGTGATCCACCACCCCCCCCTCGCGATATTTTGGGAGTGACTAAATGGTTAAATTTTCATTTCAATAATTCCGTCTAATTGGTTGCTTCAATGAATTAACCCTAATCCTAGATCACTTAACCAATTAGCCAGAGAATCGTATCCCAATAAAAAGTTGTCATAACGCACACAAAAAACTTCTTTCTTTTAAAAGGGGGGAGGGGTGCGAATAGTTTAAACCGTATGCGTTAAATCACAAGGTCTGTTATTAAGTCAAGTGGCGTGGTTTCCGAATCCCCGCTTGTGCGTGACAAGGAGTAGGTCGTCTGTCTAACCTCGTTGGTTTTTCCGTTTCCTCCGGTATACAGATCACTACGCGCAAGCGAATTATTGAAATGAAATTGAACCGTATGTTAGTCCCGAAATTACCTAGTTTGTGTCGAGTGGTATTAAACCCCGTTTCTCTCTACGACCTACTCTTATATCGAATTCCATCTTCCAATGGTGTTTAACGTGCACGCCAATGTGTACACAGTTCTCTCTCTCTCTCTCTCGCCCTCTCGATCTCTCTCTCTCTTCATCGTGCAATGAAACATTGTTAAATGTAGTTACTTCCCCTTGACCAATAAATTAGATGTAAATTGTTAGAAGAAATCACCTGTCTGTCAGTTTGGTTGACATACTGAGATTAATTTCACCTATAAATAGAACCTGATTGTAATCTACTTCAACTTTATACAAACTGTTTTATGATGTAAAACAGCCAGTGTGGTTTGTATTAGATAGAACGCTTCATGTTAAACTTTAAAACGCATCTAAATCAGAATTTTGGCAACATAAAGTAGTAGGTCTAACTATCAAATAGTTAAAAGAGAAATGAAATGGGGTTTTTACGTCCCACAACTGTTCTACTCCAACTGGGCTAATGAAGACGGACATACGCCAAGGGGAACCGGACAGCGGCGCGATGGCCTACTGTCAAGGGCAGGGGCGTAAATGTGTGTGTGTGTGTGTTGGGGGGGGGGGGTGCAGGGTGGGGTGGTGGGGATGGTATACACCCCCCAGGAAAAGAAATAGTCGATCTCAAAATAAGTGCAGTCGATCTCAAAATACGTACAGTCGATCTCAAAATTATGAATCGGCGACTACATGAATTAATGAGGTAAACAAACAATTCCAAAATGGAAGGGAAAAATCCCAAATACGTAATACTTAATATATGTATGAATATATCTGTGTTTATGTTTGATTGCTTTGATTAAATATAACACTACTCACCAGTTATTCAAAGCTAAAATTAGTATGATGTTATGGTTCAGTAATGAAACAGGAACTCCTCAATAAGCTATTGAACCTTGAGTGTGATCTTGACCTAACGGACACGATCGATTTAAACAAAATCGCCGATCAGTGGTCAAAATATGAGGATATAGTCATATTATCTTTGCTAATTTTTGTATATTCAACACAACAATATATCGAAGATATAGGTCCATGTAAATGATGTAATTCTCATTTTCATTAGGTGTCACAGTACTGTGTTCGTTCTTGCAAAATGCTTAATATTATAGTACATGTAGATATAAGATTAAGATAAGATAAGATTTTATTGTATCAGTGTATCCACTAAGGACAGCATATTAAACAGTTTAAACCAAAGTTGGTCATACAATTATAACATGAATTCCCATGCGTAGTACTGATTTTACTCATTTTATAAGTGTTTTCTGACCATCAGAATTCTACAAAATCTTCCCCAGAATCCAGGAAATGACATTTCAGAAACTCTAGATTCAAAACTTTCTCCGGCGGAGCATGCGCCGGACCTGCCTAGAAAGCCCGCGCTTGTATTAGGGGCCTGTGCATCTGTAGGTCTTGTTTTTTTTCTATCCCCCACCCCCATACAAAATAAAATCGATATGTACGCCCCTGGTCTAGGGTTCTTTTACGTGTACGTCTATGTGTACAATTTCCCTCATGACATACTGTATGGCGTGTGTCCGTCTTCGCCAGCCCTGTCGGTTCGGAAATGTAGGACGTTAAACCTCATTTCATTTCTTTTTTGGAAGCCAGAAAGTGAGTAAGATACTGGCTAGCTACCCTCGGGGTCGCGTGTTGAATCCCTGTAATTGGTCGAGAAAGTACATCGGGATTTCCGGACGTGTAGAACGGATAGCCTGACAAGGAAAGATGTCTAGTCGTTCGGATGGGACGAAAAACCGAGGTCCTGTGTACGCATTGGCGGGGGGGGGGGGTGGCAGGGTGTATGAAATGAAATGGGGTTTAGTGTCCTTTTGATCTGCCCCGACTGGGCATTGTGTACACGGTACCTCGGTTTTTAGTCCCATCCGAAGAACTATACGTTGTCGCTTGCCAGGTCCGTCGACCTACACCGCTGGCAAATATATTCTCGGCCACAGAAGGAATCGAACACTGGACATCCAACGTCCTACTCACTGAGCCACCGTGGCCCAAGAACAGTGTATCTTCGATCGTAAAGGTCCAAAAACCGAGGACATTATGCACGTAAAATAAACACAACTGTCTGACAAAACTGCCCCCATAGCACACATGCGTGATTGGTTAAAAAAAAGTGGTGTTAAAGGAGTTTAAAAATGGCTAATATATCGGACCTAGAAATTGACACAAATAGGTCGCAACGCATATAATAATGTAATATGAATGTAAGTTATGTGAGGAGTCTGATGAGGATATAAGTCATTTCCTTTTCCAGTGTACAGTTCTGGCGGAACTTAGACAACAGATAATTCCCCAAAACTTTCTCCGAAACTACAGTCAATTCAGTCTAGGCAATCTTTGTAATACAGAGTGCCAAAATTACATAATTGCAATTTCACAGTATATCGATAAAGCTAGTCAATTGAAAAAACGTTGATTGATATTGTTGACATTATTGATATTGTATTTTATTGTTATTGTTGTTACCACCACCATCTTCCCACATTTTTGTTAAATGATATTGTATTATTTGTATCTTTGGGTCCAAGACCTCTAAATACTGAATAAACAAATTATTATTATTATTATGAATGTATATAAACTGATTTGCATTCAATCGTGTCCGTTTTACTCTAATATCAAATCAGTTATGTTCGGCGAAATATGCAAGAAGTCTCAATCGAATGGCAATCTCTAGAGTCTGGTTGTTTTAGTCTACACCGGTAGTATTTATTGCGTATGCACTTCAGATAATTTTGCGTCACCATTTGACATGACTTGTGGAATATGTCTAACCTCGTTCTTCGAGTACCTTGTTATAATGGTGCTGAAACGCATTATGGTACACGATTCATGTACCAATGGTAAAATATTTATTTTGTCTTAAATATTGGATATCAGAAGCCCATCTTTTCCTGGTAAGATCACTACATCAATGTTGATTTAAATTGACAAATAATTCGTGTTTTTAATAAAGAAAACTTTGGGTGATACTGAGTAGGAGTTTTAGCTACTTTAAACCCCTTTTCATTGCATTACTGCTCTCTAAACTTATTGCTGTTTTCTAAATGAATAAAACCTGTTCTACAAATAAAAGAAATCTGTTCCATAAAATAAAAAATTAATGGTAATATAACAAGAACAAGGTGTTTTCTTAAATAGAGAACAACACCTTGCGCATAAATCAATTGGAGTATATCGCGTGTGAGGCGCGTGCTGGTTTTCTTCTAATATCACGTGAAGAGATAACTCATGCTGTTATTCCTTCCTCCCGATTCTAGTATTAGTTGAAGATGTGTTGGGTTGCGTAACGGATGGATTTTACAGTTTGTTTATAAAATGAAGAGGCTACTAGGAGTATTTATCTTATGTTCTGGTGAGTCTGGTTTTAATTTAATTCCATCTCATAGCTGTTAACACTTAACACATACGTTTTTTTTTTTAAATTTCTCAAAATATTTCCGTGATTTTGTTTTCTAATTAAAAACAGTGAATGGCCAAACGGCACCGACTGGACATACGCCTACTAGTAGGGGGGGATCTTACAGTTAAAGCGGCAATAGGACCTACTCTTATTTTGAATTCAGGGGTTCTTTTACGTGCACGCCAGTGTATATACGGTATCCGGGTTTTCCTTGGGGATCACGGTAGCTAAGTGGGTAAGACGCTGGCTCGCTAGCCTGGAGGTCAGGTGTTCGATCCCTGCATTGGCCGAGAAAGTTCATCCAGATATTCTGGTGTGGTTCCCCCTTGTCATGATGCAGGGCGGAGGGCCTGACAAGGACAGCTGTCTAGTTGTTCGGATGGGACGAAAAACCGATGTCCTGTGTACACATTGGCGTGCGCGTAAAAGATCCCCTGACAGTTGGAATTCGATGTAAGAGTAGGCCGTAGTGCCGCTGTCCGAAAAAATTTCCCTCATAACACACTGTATGGCGTATGTCCGTCTTCATTAGCCCAGTTCGGAGCAGAACAGTAGGACGTTAAACACCATTTTATTTCAATTCCGGGTTTTCCAATCCAAACAAATAGACATTGTCCTTGCTACCCCCCCCCCCCCGATACCGATCAACTTTCTCGGTCAACACCGGGATCGAACACGGGGCCTCCTGTTTTGCGAGCCAACGTCTTACTTACAAAACCAATTAATGGCCGAATGCTTGGGTAATGGGAAGAAACAATATTTCTGCTAAGATCTTACGGTTGATACGTGAGTTGGGCACTGTCTGAATAATGAAGTTCAGCTACTTTAATGTTGTTGCCATTCTCGACTTTACCAATATCTGTGGGAACGTGCACTATCGCCCCTCCCAATAATCGTAGGAACGCGCATTCTCGCTTTTCCAAATATTATTTGTGGGGACGTGCATTCTCGTAATTCTCAATATTTCTGGGGGCGTGCATTCTTATATTTGTTGGAACGTGCAGTCTCACCTTCCCAAATGTTTGTAGGAACGTGCATTCTCGCTTTTCCAAATATTTGTAGGAACGTGCATTCTCGCTTTTCCAAATATTTCTGGGAACGTGCATTCTCGTCGTTCTCAATATTTCTGGGGGCGTGCATTCTTATATTTGTGGGAACCTGCATTCTCACCTTCCCCAATGTTTGTAGGAACGTGCATTCTCGCCTTCCCCAATATTTGTGGAAACGTGCATTCTCGCCTCTCCCAATATTTGTGGGAAGGTGCATTCTTATATATTTGGGAACGTGCATTCTCGTCTTTCCCAATATTTGTGGGAACTTGCGTCCTGCATCAACTGTCTGTACATCAGCGATTACAATTCGTAAACTTCATTTCATACGATCTTCATTGCTTAAGGCCATGATATTCTGAGACAAAGGATCTTGTACGTGCACATCAAGGGATCATTTACGTGCACGCCAAGGGATATTTACGTGTACGTCCATTGATCTTTTACGTGCTTACCAAAAGGTCATTTACGTGCACGTCAATGGATCTTTTACGTTCACGCCAAATGTTATTTTTACCCTAAGGTAAACGGATCTATTACGTGCACACCAATGTGTATCTAATTGTCATGTGTATGTAATTGTGCGTTCAGTATTGGTCAGTGGGGAATGGGCTACATGGCAGCTGATCGGGTATGGTCGCCTGTCAAAACTCGTGACTTTTCGCCGGGTCCTCCAGTTTCTTCCCTCTGCTATAAAAACCCTTCTTGAAATAAAATTGAAACGTATGTTAGTCTCGAAATGACCTAGTTTGTTTTAAGTAGACGTTAATCCCTATTTTTTTATTCGTAAATTATCATGCATTATCGGCTAAATTACAAAATCATTCTCAATGTGAACTTCAAACAGCGATAGTAAAATAAGAAATATTTATTTTGGTCAGTATTTTTATCGAGACACATTCTCTGGGGAAATCAGCGGCATTGTAAATAACGATTATTATAAAACAACACAAATACTGCTCTCGTCCTTTTTAACAAACTCATTTATTTAATAAATGAAATAAAATGAAATGAAATGGAATTTAACGTCCTACTTTTCTGCTCCGAGTGAGCCAATGAAGACGGGCATACGCCATATAGTGTGCTATAGGGGACGTTTTGCCCGGACAGCGGCGCTACGGCCTACTCTAATTAAATCGAATTCCAACAGTCAAGGGATCTATTACGTACATGTCAATGTTTACACGAGACCTCGGCTTTTCATCTCATCCGAACGAATACACAGTAACAAAAAAATCCATCAAAAAACGTAAAAAACTCCGGAAACAAAAATTACCAGGAAAATTTTATCCGTATTTTTTTTCCCCATAATTTACAGAAATTCCTTCAATTAACAGAAATTCCATTTTCAAATATAGAAAAAAGAAAAAAAAACCTGGTAAATTTTGTTTCCTGAGCATGAAGGTGATAAAAATTTCATTGAATTAACCATTGACTTTTTACGCATGCGTGAAATAGCTCTATTTAACGTCGGCTTCCACCAAAGTGATATCGCAGACAATCTTTAAACTTATCCTCTTTTCGCTAATAGTGAGGTTGGATGGCCGAATGGTTAGCACGTGCGTGCTGTATCATACGACCTGTCATTGAGTCAACTGGTGTGTTTTCGAATCCCCGGTTGTACGTGACAAGGAGTAGGGTCGCCTGTCCAACCTCGTGGGTTTTCTCCGGGTCCTCCGTTTTCCTCCCACTGCTAAAGACCCCTACGCGGAAGCGAATTATTGAAAAAAAATTAAACCATATGTTAGTCCCGAAATGACCTAGTTTGTGTCGAGTGGACGTTAAACCCCATTTCCCTAATATAAGAATTCGGAATATCCTAATCGAGAGCAAGAGCTGGTATCACACACCGATACTCGTCAGTGGGGTTGGAGACTTTCAGATGTAACCTTGCGGTAGAATCAGGTATGTAGACTCTGCCAGAGAGACAAACCGACTATAATATCCGGATTTAAGCTTGATTACCAGGAATACAACCCATACCCACGCAGCGTTAAAACATATTTTTACACATTTATGAAAATACTTACAATCTGATTACCGTATGATGAATAACAATAAACTCTATAGATCTTATAAATGATGGAAATTAGATATACATGATATGTAATATACCAAACGTTGCAAAATATGATTCTTCATATTATGGTTAATAAATTGAAATGAATACTATAACATTATAATTATTAGGAATGATTATATATGTATACGATTACTTATCGTTGCACCGTTTATCCCGTAAAATAGCAGAATTAAGCCCATTACAGAACGGAATAAAACATTTTATTACTAAATTTCACGGAACTTCCTGGTCATTCCACCGTTTATTCCGTAAAATAACAGAATTATGTCCATTATTGAAGGGAATAAAACATTTCGTCCCTAAATTTGACGGAAATTTCCTGTTTAATACTGAATATTCCATAGAAATACATAAAACACGTAATTTGAAGAAATAATTCACACTATTAACAAAATTTCTCCAAAAAAGCCATCGATTAACAGAAAAAAAAGGTGTTAAACTACGGAATTTGGCCATATAAAAAATAGATATTTTTTTACAGTGTAGACAACTGTCCTTGTCAGGCCCCTGCCTTGCACCACTGACAAGGTAAAACCACGCTGGAAAATCCCAATGAACTTTCTCGTCCAACACTGGGATCGAACCCGCGACCTCCAGGTTAGTGAGACAACGTTTTACCTACTGCTAACAACCGTGACTCTCTTCCCGCGTGCGCGTCGGATTAGAAGGTCTGTCACTGAGTCAAGTGGCATACACCATACAGTGCGCTATGAAGGAAATTTTGTCCGGTTAACAATTGAAATCCAACACACGCTGGAAAATTCCGGGATACTTTCTCGGTTAACTTGCTGAGCCGCTGGGGCATACTAAACTTAGGCTGTCTGACTACACTTAGCTTCGCTTGAGAACAGACACTAAGGTAGTTGACCGACATTTTAAAGTCCTAAATCGACGATTTTAGTCGAAAACACTAAGTATACTTCGAGAATTTTGTTAAGGATTTATTCTGCTTCCATTTAATACAATTGAAAAAGTTTATTTATCTTTATATATATGGCCGAGTAGAACCGCATTACAAAACAACATACTATTTATTTGGGTATGGCGACCATTTAGAACAGAGTTCTATTCTCGAAGAATGAAGTAGCTGATGGACCTCTGTGTGATGAATGACATTGGGGTTCGTACACGCTGTATAAGCAGTGCTTGGTGGGTTCACTGACATAGGATTAGGTAAAGGTTAGAAGTAAATGCAGGGGGACCGCACCACCCATAAACCATAATACAATACCAACCCAGGTAGAGGACACAATATACACATGCATCTCCAACATATCGCACCAAGTGAGTGGATCCGGAGTCTAGCCGTAAGCGTCCACTCCGCTGTTCAGTCCCGAGTCTTTAGTGATCCGGGGCCTAGGTCACCAGTGCTGAAAAGGTATTTACGATGTAATCTTCATTCGTATATACTGTAGTTATGAATAGCCTTAATTTAAACACAGAAGAAAAACATCAGTTTTCTTATTGCGATTTTATCTACTGACACGAATAACTTCCATTAATCATGCACAATATACCACTTTCATTTCTTACCTACAATAACTGAAATGAAATGAAATGAAATGCGGTTTATCGTCCGTGTTCGATCCCTGCATTGGCCGAGAAAGTTCATCCAGATTTTCCGGCGTGGTTCTCCCTTGTCAGTGATGCAGGTTGGAGGGGCTGACAAGGAAAGCTGTCTAGTCGTTCGCATGGGACGAAAAACCGAGGTCCCGTGTACACATTGGCGTGCACGTAAAAGATCCCTTGGCAGTTGGAATTCGATATAAGAGTAGGCCGTAGTGCCGCTGCCCGGGCAAAATTTCCCTCATAGCACACTG